ATGATTACAACTACTGTATGTGAAATCATGAATAGATTTAGTTTAAGTGACTAGAGGTGCAGTATCTGAAGTTTGCATTGGATATTTCAATTCAGACTATGTACTTATCCTGCTAAATTTACTTATATTAAGCAAATCTCATTTGTATTCTAAAACATTTACCTGATCTTTTACAATGTCCATCAAGTGTAATTCTGTCCTCGTGTTAAAGTCAATAGATGGTTCATAAGAAGCCTCAGCCAGCAGAATTTCTTGTCTATAATAATAAAAAAATGAATACATTAATCTGCAAAAGAATTCACATAATTTAATTTAGAATTAAATATTATTTTCCTGCCTTATGCCCATTGTTTTGGATTCCTCATGATCCTGGATTGGATGAAGAGGTTAGAAAATGGCCGGATGGATTAAATGTTCTTCTGGAGACATTTGGGAATGTTTATGTAGTAGGTAATTAACAGGATTTTGAGTCAACATCTCATGTATTACTGTAGTTTGAAATGAAACCTCTTGTAAAGTTGTAAGATAAGTATTGACACCCTGTGTCTCTAAGTTAGAATGATTTGATGCCTTCAAGTTAAAGTTTTTTAGTTTCTCAAAGTGTCTTTTAAAGACATTGTTGCAAACTCAGATGTACTACACCTAGTCCAAGGTGTTGCTATTGCATGACATGCTGAGGATGTCTGACTCAAGCCTAATCAACTTCAGTGGTGCATGTCCAGTTATCTATTGCAATTTGGTGAATCCCATTATCTGTTATTTAACAAATTTAGCCTAGGCTTGAAACACCACTGTATGAACAATAAAACTGAATTTGCACTTCAAATGAGTGATTTTAGTGGTTAAATCAATTGAAACGTATTTGGTGATTTTTTACATTTGATAGCAAATAAAAGGTTCTTGTGGGTACTTCAGTTTAAATTCTGCTAAAAGAGACAGCCTAATTACTTTAATTGACATGAGTTACACTACAAATTGAATATTTTAATACTTACTTGTATTTAAAGCACCCATTAAAAGTTGATTGTACCCATCAGATTGCTTTCAAGAAGAAAACATTACTCAGACAGTTACTACAGGAAAGCAGAATAAGAAGATGGATAAAAATACAAAATACTATGACTAGCCTATTCAATCTGAATCCATTTTACCATATTTGAAGAATATCTCTAATGGTGTTTATATGAATGTAAGTTAATAGCATAAAGCAGGGGTCTTCAGTGTTCAACTCATTTTGAAGAACTTTATTTTGTTGTCACAAATATATACAGAATAAACACAAAATATTTGCCTTATACTGTATATAATGCACAAATGAAGATAAGAATAAAAAACCAAAAGAAAAATCAATTTTGCTCAGTTTAAACAGCAATCATGTTAAAAAATATATTATTCTTAAATATAATATTCCTTTTGTTTTTATTGACAAAAATGACTTTTTTCCCTACATTCTCTATCAGTATCCCAAAGTTTTGAGATGCAATCATTCACTCTCTGTTTTCTACAGATTTTTTGCTTCCCCTTCCCTAGTCTCCACAGATCTCTCAGGTAAAAAAAATCTTAAATAATGAACAGGGCCAGACTACCCGCACCCTTGACTGGAACTTGGGTGCCTTTGAACACCCCCTTGCCCTACAGAGGGTCTTCTTTCCACTATTCACTATGGTCTAAATCCTGTCAGAGACATGCCATACAGTATATAATGAAACAGCAGTCAGGGAAAAGTTAAGCAAAGTAAAACTAGTCTCAGAAAGCCTTAGCAAAATGGCAAGCCCGCAAGAGATGGGTTAGTCTCTTCTTCACAGCAGCCGATTCTAACAAAGGAAGGGCTGGGAGTGAGGCCTCCACAGCACAAGAAGGTTTGTACTCGTTAACACTGGTGAACTCTACACTATACCGCATGCTAAGTCTTTGTGAACATTACACAATTCCCTAGAGGAGTTCAACTTTAATAACCAGCACCTTTCCCGTCAGAGTGAAATCTTGATCATTTCACTGCATAGGTTTCCCTGCTAGAATTGGCAATTTGTTCTGCTTCCTGACCTTTCTCTGAAGTATACTCCCAGGATCTTAATTCTGTTCTCTTGTAGTCAAAGACGTTGTTCTAATTTTGACTTCCTCCAATTCTGATAAAAGATCGTGTTCTTTGATTTCATTTTACTTTTATAAGCCAAAGAGAACAAATCACAGTACTGCAAAGCCCTATTTACTGAAAATTTGTCAGAGAGAAGTGTGATATAATCCATATACAGGGATATCTTTACCTCTCTACTCCCACCCCCAGGCACTGATATCCCTTTAACTGCCCTATCCTGACATAAAGCTCAGGCTAAGAGCTCCATAGCTAATACAAAGAGCAGAGGAGATAATAGGAAGCTCTGCCTTAACCCAGAAGAGAAGTACCAACAAGTAAATGAAAGTGTACCTGAGTGTTAGTTGAGGCGCCTTGTTTTTCACAGGTTGCTGCTTAGGATGACATGCCCGGGGTGGAGATATCTCCTTCTTTGCCCATCTTGAAAGTGGGAGCTTTAGAGGAATAGGAGGGATGTGAAGCTGCGAAAGTGTGGCTGCCACTCTCAAGCTAATGAACTGGAAAGAATCATTCCCAAGAAAATTTGATGGAGTTTTCAAATCCACATTAGAGAAAGGATTTTTTGGGCTATTGACTTCAGCCTGGAAGTAAATGAGTCAAAATAGAAAAAAAAAGACACTCAGAACTACAGTATAACAATTTTCTGGAAACAAACGTCTCTGCAAAAACAAATACAGACTATTTTAACTGAAAGAAAGGCTGTTTTCCCTGTTTTCACATCATTGTTTTTTTAATTAAAGTAGTTACAAATTGAAGGACTGTCTTTCAAGGAGAAGGGGGAAAGTGCTGCATATCCAGCTTGTAAAAGATGGTACACACAATAATGTTTATTTTCTTGTTGGAGGCAGAGATTGAATGTAATACAGGTCTCTGTCTATTCATTCCTCCCACTCAAAGAAGGGTTTACTGTATGAGGCCAACTGTTTTTTTTAATTCTCCTGTCTAGTCCATATAAAAAATAGATGAGTAATTGAACTGCGTGATGAAAACAGAGCTCAGTGGCTATAGACGAATCCATGAAGTAGTCCTTAATACTTAATCCCCTCGTGGCATGTAATAAATTATAACTAAAGGCATTCATCAACAATTTACTGATTCCTGATGATTTTTTAAGCTGCACTAGACAATGCCATTAAACTGAGGCTCCCACTTCTTGATCATTAAAGATCCCTTGGCTCTGTTCAAAGGAGAAGACATATTTACCCCAATGTCCAGGCTAAATGCCACTTTACACTTGGACAAAGTGGGCTCCCTAAATGTCTACCTTAATTTAATTTGGTAAATACAATAAGACCTATTTGCGATACACAAGACCTGAAGAAGAGCTAGACAAAGATTTTCTGGTGCAACATGAAAGGTAGGTAAGGAGGGCAGGAAATGGAATCAATCACATTAATAAACGTGTCTAAAAAAGATTGGAATCTACATGAGAGTTATTACATCAATATCTCAAGAAAATGATGAGTTGCTAATGTGAAGGGACAAGAAAAAGTGCATGAACATCAGATTATTTTGGTGCTGCAAATGCTCACAACATTCACAACATTTGCTTAGAAAAACAGGCATCTTGTACAAAAATACAATTGGAATTAAGCCTAGACAGACAAATTTACAGTCCTCCCCAAATTTTCCTAACTCCTGCCAGATCGTCTGGTTTTAAATATCAGTATAAACACCTTTTGAAAAAAAAAACAAGATATTCTACTGTGGTGAAACAGGCTTGAAATTATTTATAGTCAAATTTGTGTGGACTAAGTGGTATCCCTGACGTGGAAAAGTTTACTTAACAATTAATTTACAGCTTCTCAAAAAAACCCATTAATTCTATTGCCCTTAGATACTAGAGTATGCAGCCGTGAAACATCTCACCACTATTTGAAAATTAAAACAATCTTAAAATATGCAAACTCCTAATTGTGGTCATTAGTCACACCTCTCAAATCCACATTATAACAGCGACAAGAGAGAAGATAAATTGCTTTTTCTGACATTTTATTAGAAGAGGATGTCCCTTAACCAAGTTTAATAGATTCTATGACTTCTCCAGTGATGGCTGATGGCACTGGTATATCAAGGCAAAGTGGCCCTATGTGAATGCCTTATTTTAAATAAAGGCTTTCATTTCCCATAGGGCTTTCCTGACTGTTCTCATTCTTGACCAAGTGTACTAATGTGCACTATAATTGTATTTTCTTCCTAGACAACCACAGCAAACATCAAGCAATAACAAATGAAACTAGTCATTTTGACAATGTAATTTAATAGCTTAAGCAGCTATCTTTTCATAAAAGAAAATTAGTTTGCTATTTTCTAAAATGAAAATTCCTGAAATAGCAAGAAAAATTAGTTGTTTTACTATAAAGCTAATGTTGACAACTTTTCTATCACTGAATCTTTCAGAACCAAAAAACATGCAGAAATTTGTTTTAAAAATTGGTTAAAATATTTCTATTTACAGTGACAGAATTTTCTATTATCAATTTGATTGCTCATAGAACATTCTGAATCTAAATCTAAAAAGTGCAGATATTTTCACTGCCTTCTTCAGAGTCTATCAAAATCTGAAACAATTCAACCTCAAGCTAAGACATACAGTGACTCTTTCAATTAAAAACAACTGAAAATATGAACAACAAATACATGCCATCCTCTACACATTGTAATAATGTTGAAGGACATGCTCAGTCTATCTAATAAGCTCCTCTGGAACCGCTTGTGAATGATCTCTGAAGTAAAATCAGCGTCTTTGCATCACTCTGTCTCCTACGTGAAATTAAATTCTGTAGTGATTAAAACAAATAAAAAAGCATTACAAATAAGCTTATCAGAACTCAGAGAGTGTACAAAAATATTTTTTTCATTTTCAGAAACACTGCATAATCAACCCTGAGTTCTTTTAGTACCTTACCTCTGCACATTATTTTATATCATTGCAGTCATGTAAATATATGCATTATGTCTTAATGCAAGTGTTTTGGATTTGTTTACAGTTTAGAAATGTTATGAAGCATTGGGTATTTAACTCAGAGACTACATACATTAAATTCAATTCAATATATTTTTATATAGCATCTTTCACAACAAGATTGCCCCAATATTTTAAATCAAAACTTGAATGCTAAAACCTAACACTTTTACTGTTGGAAGAAGATAAATGTCAGCAAAAATCCCACAGAAAATTCAAAACCTAAAATGTTGATTGCATAAGTATTCAATCTATTTGCAACTCCAAACCTAAATTAGTTTAGGTATATACAAATAATTTTTATAACCCACACAGCTGATTGAAAAGGCCTTTGTCCATTTGCAATAACAGTGGTTCACATGATTTAAAATAAAAACGCCTGTTTCTGTAAGGGCTCCCAGTCAGGTAGTAAATTTCAAGCAAAAATGTAACCATGCAGACTAAGGAACTAAAAAAACTCATGGATAAAGTTGTAAAAAAAAAGCACAGGTCAGGAGAAGTTTATGAAAAATTGTAAAGACACAAAATCTCCCTTTGAATACAGTAAAGATGATCATTATTAATGAAATTTGTGTTCTACCCCCTAGGCACTGCCTTGATCTTTCCAAACTAAGTATTCGGGCAAAGATGAAAGTGGATCCCACCATTAGGACAATGGCAACTTGTGACAATGGCAAAAGAACTAGCTAGATCAATTCTTAAGATAGCAGAAGGTGTACATGAGTCAACAATATCCCGGTCAATAAACAAAGCCAATATACAATTTATATAATGGATTTAAAATCCCATATGGAGTTTGCAACAAAGCATTTAAGTAATACTGCAAACATGTGGCAAACGTTTCTGTGGTCAGATGAGACAAAAATGGAACATTTTGATCTAAATGTGAGGCATTATGTTTGGCATTAACCCAACACAGCATATCACCTGCTTCTCATCAGGGACTGGGAAGCTTGTCAAGAAGGTGGGAAAATGAATGGAGCAAAGGACAGGCAAATCTTGAGGAAAAACCTGCTTCAGTCTGCTAAAACTGGAACAAAATTTGACTTTTCAGCAGGACAATGACCTGCTATAGAGAGCCTGAGAGGGTCTTTTGAATGTACAAATTGGGACATATTTAGCTCTGTTCTAACCTCCCTGGATGAATATAGTGACACAGTTACATTAACTGCAGCAAAGAGGTACAGTATGCATCTCCACAAGAACAATTAAGACATAAGGCAATAAGAAGCAATCGTTTTCAAAAGAACTGTAAGACCTATGTAATAGGCAGAACAGGGTTTTTCTCAAGGGTGACCGAACTGAATATATTTCGGCAAAGTATGAGCTGTGCTCTCCAGTGAGTAAAGCAAAGAGCAACTATACTAAAAAGCTGGAAAAGCAATTAACCAATGATAACTCAAGATCGTTCTAGAACAAATTCAGGACTATAAATTCAGGATAAAAAAATCCTGTCACCCTACTGGACAATGTAATTTAATCAGTTTTATGCTCACTTTGAGAAACTTAATTTGAGAAACTTAACTTCCTCCTTTACCGTCTCTTCCATCTACATTGAAGCAGTGAGAGCAATTAAAAAAATAAAGAAAAGAAAAGCCACAGGTCCAGAATCTGTCAATGGTGGCCTTTAGTCAGGTGGCCACTCAACTGGCTCCTGTGTTCACCAATACTTACAATACTTCACTTCTTCTTCAGAAAGCTCCTCACAGTTTCAGAGTATCCACTATAATTCCTTTTCCTAAATCTTCAAAGATATCCTGCCTTAATGAGCACAGATCAATTGCTAGGAAAGCCTTTGAATATCTCCCCTGCTGGTTCCTCACCAGTTGGCCTACTGGGCAAACAGGTCTGTTGAGGACTCTGTTAACCTGGCTCTCACCTGTACACTCCTGCATTTACAGAAGCAAAATTTCTATTTTGTATCCTTTTTTTGGATTATAGTTCAGCCTTCAGCACTGTAGACCCATATAAATTATTTAATACATCTCTGGATTTGAACATCATCCCTACTATGTGTCATTGGATTCTAGATTTATGACGTGTTACCAACAAACTGTCAAAGCGAATAACGGGATATCTTGCCCTCTGACTCTTAGTACTGGTGCTCCCCAAGGCTGTGTCCTACCTCCGTGGATTGTTCCCTTTTTACAAACACCTTAATATCTCAGGTTAGCTTGGATATTTAAATATGCAGATGATACCACTATTGTTGTCTTTATCTCTGATAATGATGAGGCTCCAAACTGACAGTTGACAGACTGGAGTACTGATTGACCTGGTGTTCTGATAATAGCCTTCTACTCAATGCATCACAAACTAGGGAAATAATGATTGATTTTATATGTGTCCAGAACATAAAACTCCCCACTATCATTAACAAATATCCTATAGTGACTGCAAATTCCTTTAAATTTTTGGCAACATACATAAGTGACGATCTTAAATGGAGCACCAATACAGATCATATACTGTAGTTAAGAAAACACGGTAGAGGACATACTTTCTCAAACAATTTAAGAAATTCAGCGTGAACCAGCAACTTTAGCAACATCAGTTTTACATAGCCATAATTCAAAGTATTTTGACAGCTTCCATTATAGTTTGATATGAGAATCTGAATGACTATACAAAATGAAAACTGGAAAGGATCTTGTCTAGAGCCTCAAAATAATAGTCTATGAACAACCCTTCCAATTCATCCCTTTACACAAGCTGTAGCTCCAAGCGTGCTTACATAAGCTGTAGCTCCAATCGTTCTTAGATGATTAATGGAGACCACTAATCTTAAACTATTATAAACTAATCCAGTTTATAATCTTTTTCAGCTCCTCCCTTTGGAAAAACACTTTAAATCAATCTTTTCATGACCCACTTCAACCTTTGCCTCTTTCCCACTACCCACTTCTGACCAAATTACATTTTAAGTCTAAGTCAAAACTTCAGTGAGCCTGTACAGTAATCTCTAGCCAGGTCATTCCCCACACAACCAACACAGAACCGCGAGCAAGTGTTACAACAAAACCACACTGAGATACAGATTGTGGGTAGCAGGTACTTGGATAGATGGCAGGGAGAGGCTCACTCGTTCGCTAGATTCGTCTCAAAATCCGAGTATGTCGTGCAGCTAAATTGAAAGTTGCGCTTAACAACCTTTGGCTCGGTTTCAATCTGGTCTGCTCTTCTCCAATACAAAAACCTATCAGCCAGACTGAATAACAAATAGGCAGACTTGAGAATGTTAAATTTTCAAATGTCGAGACCCTACTGTATTCATTTTACGAAAAAGTATACCTATAACTTGTAATTCAACAAAATGGGACATCACTGGAAGAGGGTAAATACTGTTGCATAGCAAGAGTTGTTTTGCATGAAACCTTTTTTTTCTGCTAATAAATACCAGCTATTATGACTGTGAACCACCATTCATTGGTGCAGATAGAATAAATACAAATATAAACAAAATGTGTGTTAATCAAGTGCTGAGGAATAAACTGGAAAACTATTCACACAGCCAAAATATTAAAAAGAAATTAAAATTAAAAGAAGAAAGATGAACTACAAATAAATTAGCAGATCTGGTTTATTTGCTGAAAAGCATGGTGTGGGATATTATTTAATAATATACGAGTACAGATGCTAATCTATATAATGATGACCGAGCAAGATCTCAAGAAGGAATATTCTCAGATTACAACAAAGTATTTGATAAAAGAATTACATTTCAAAATAGAATGTGTTCTCTAATATATTATTTAACAGTGTTATTTCTAATTCTTTGACTGCCCTAATATTTCTGTCTTTAATTCCACATTATTACTCATTATGTTATTCTTCACTCTTGAAATTACTACCATGATATCCCACTTACGTTCTCGAACATACCGAAAGTACACAGAATATGTCACTTCAGATTGGTAACAGTCCATGGGATGACTGAATAGTGTTCCTAAAAGAGGCACGGTAGATTAAGTGTTCATGGGAAATAGCAGCAACGCTTATACCCATCTCCACAGGTTACACAGCACAGAATAAATGAGAAGGTGGTGCTATATGAAAAATCAGCAACCTTTAACAAAAGGCACGTAACAGAATTCTGTGCTCAGACCTTTTTTTCTGGAGCTGGCAGTTTCAGCACTGTCAGAAACCATTACAGAGGGAAACTAGATATCTGTGAAAAGAAAATGTAGGTCTAAAGTAACAAAAGCACAATGGAAAAGAAACAGAGACCAAGATTCTTTTTCTTTTTTTTGAAGATCCAATTTGTAAGGGGAAAACTGCATTCAATTTTACAAAAGCGTGATGTTTTGTAGATTTGCAAGTTGAATCTGATTGTGGCATCTTTTGTTAAAATTGATTCATAGACAGAAGAAATGAATGAATTAAGTGTTAATCACATGCGATACATGAGTTGAATTTTAATGTGCTTGTTACGATTTTGCAAATTTTTAATACTAAACACAGCAAAGGTTGCAATTATACCACAAAAATGTCAAAGCAGATTTTGTGCACGACTTTAACGATCACATTTTCTCTGTCCAAACTTAAAATAAAATATGTGATTTCTGAACATTTATCCTAAAACAATTTCTAAAAGAAATTTCTAAAAGATTGTTTTCATACAAAAAAATGATAAAAACAAGCTAATAGCTAAGTTACAGAAATGCACTGAAGTGACAAAATAACATTAACCATAATCTGTCCTTTCTCAGCATGAATATCAAAAAGAAGCAAATTAGTTGGGCTTCAGTTTCTTTGAAAATAGTGTCTAAATAATGGTTATAATACTTTGGAGCACTGCATTTTATGTTGTATACAGTACCCAGCTGAGATACATTATCTTGTGTAGGATAAACACAGTAGGAAGCATTTTAAACTATTGCACAGGTTTTAACTGCAATTATACATTAGCCATTCAAAGTTTAACCATCAGACTTTGTGTTGCACAGCAGATATTTATCATTTACCTCAGCTACTCTTGTGGCCTCCAGGACTCGCAAATCTGTCTCTTTTCCAAGCTGCTCTTGAAGAGCTTTCCAGGCAGCATTCCTTAGACCTTCTCGAGCCACATCCCCGTGTAGTACATGGCAAATTTTCACCACAGCATGGATAGCACTATACCGAGTGCACCACGTCTCTTCATCTGCTAAAAGTAGACACAAAGATAGTATAGGGTCTTTCAAATAGTTGTCAGGATTCATTACAGTGCATATTACAAATAACGAGTTGGATTAATTTCAGTTGGCTCTTTAAACCTGTAATAAAATCACTACATTCCCTTAAGCAATTATATTCACCAGTAAGACTGATGAAGCAGGTATCAATGTGTGTATACTTGTATTTAATATGTATAGGTCACATAGGCTGTCTTAGATTGTTTTTCAATACCATAAGACATCAATTCAAATAAGAAAAAACTCTCCCGCTTGATTCAGGTCATACAGACTCTCCTCTGACGTGCTGGATATAAACATAAAGAATCCAGTGCCTAAGATCTAGTCCATCTCCAGCAGACACCAGACAAAAGACAATATTTAATGAAAGTGGTCTTGACATAGTATTTTATGAGTATTGGTACCTTCCATCTCCAGCATTTATAATTAAAAATTCATTAAGTAAAATATTGGATTTAAATACATGTCGCCAGCAGCCATGTCACCCTGCAACTTACAATTGGAAACCCACTGAAGCTAATTTAAAAAAAAATCAAAGGTCGATCAAAATAAAAAAATATATAATATGTAAGGCATTTTATTAAAAATTAGATAAGATAAAAAAGATTAAAACAGAATATAAAGTAGGTAGCAGAGAGAATTAATAAATGATTGGCCAGCAGCTATATCACTCTGCAACTCACAGCTGGCAAGTGGGTGTGAGCCTGGTCAGTACCTGGATGCGAGACCTCCTGGGAAAAACTAAGGTTGCTGCTGGAAGAGGTGTTAGTGAGGCCAGCAGGGGGTGCTCACCCTGAGGTCCATGTGGGTCCTAATGCCCCAGTATAGTTACGGGGACACTATACTGTAAACAACTGCAGAGACATTAAACAGAGGTCCTGTCTCTCTGTGGTCATTAAAAATCTCAGGTTGTTTCTCGAAAAGAGTAGGGGTGTAACCCCGGCGTCCTGGCCAAATTTCCCATGCTTCCTAATAATCCCCCTCTATGAATTGGCTACATTACTTTGTTCTCCAGCTCCCCCCCTCCACCACTCCGACGGCAGGTGGAGCGACATGCCGGTTGGAGTATTCTCGGTCGCATTTAATGGCAACGTCGGCTCAAAGATTTGGTTCAAACCACCAAATGGAGACGGGCGTGCCGACAAGCGGACCCTGTTGATGCGGGATTAACGGTAGGATGAGAGAGATTGGATTTAAATACATTTGAAATTTATTGGATTTTAATAATTTTTTAAAAAACTTTACTTGCTGTATTTTTTTAAATTTTAGAATCAACTATTGTTCACTAACTAGCATAGAACAAGAAGGAAAAGTAGTTTTGGTGTGTTTATTCATTTATATTACAACTGCAAGACAAGCAAAAAAGTTACAGTCTAAAAGCAAGACTGGAATGTTTTACAGACAATAAAACAGATGTTGAAACCATTTGAGATTTACTGTATATATGTGTAAAGTTTGCCAAGATCTCAAGGGAAAGGCCTGGGAAAGGTAAAGAGCAGAACAAAACAGGAAAAGATTACATTTTGAAACACAAAAAATGCTGTATAACAGAATATTTAGAGTAGTTTTTTTTTGTCATAAGAATGATTAAACCAAGGTACAGCTTTAAGAGTGCAGTTTCAATCAGATTCCAGAATCAGCAATCTAATCAGCTGTCATTGGCCTGTCATTTAACAGAACTTCTACAGCCTTAGTGCAGAGCCATCTGAGTGGTACCAGGTTAAACGGACTTTAGATGGCCTTGGCATTACCAGAAATTGGTGTTTCCCCATGGCCCTGTGAGATTATAGTATTTTCAATGACACACATACTCCTCTAGGCAAAGCTAATGCTACTGCAGGTTCTGTCGGGATTTCAGTGTGAAAAATGGCCAATGGCTCTGACAGTGTGCATTTTAAAGGAAAGAATGCATGGTCTTTCCCTTTGTGTTAGCATGAGGGTTGTAGCAGCAAGGGTAGCAATACACTGCTGAATTCAAATTGGGAAGGGAAAGAAGATATAAACGGATAAAAAATTAGCAAATCTAAATATAAAAAAGAAAATCATAATATTCTAAAGGTATGCGCAATGGTTTAGAAAACTATATTTTTCTAACTGCTTTAGAAAAATACATGTATGTATTAACATATGTTTGAAATACATATGAAACTTTTAATTTTGTGAGAATCTGGAATGGAATTTTAACTAAATTTGTCTATGGAGTATAAACTGTATTTGTGGAATCGATTAATTGTATTTCTAATGTAAAATAAAAAGAAATCTCTTTAAAACCAACTGCATAGTTTAAAATATCCTCCTCATTTCTTTGAAAGTGATATTAAGAAAACAGAAAAGACTGATGGAAAAAGCATTTTAAAAGTTTAAGAATGGTAGAGAAGATGAGAAGATCAAACTAAGTCTATTCACTACATGACCTTTCTCATGTTAATGTGCTGTTCAACAACCTGATTTATTAATATTTTATAATGATCTTTTCTTGAGAAATTGAAAATCTTCCACTACTGTGTGGAAATCACATTTGGTGTTTTGACCAAAGATCTCTATCAAAGCCTTCTTCTGACCGATTCTCTTATACATCTGTAAAAGCAGTTTTAGTGTAAAGATGTTTTTATATAGCTTTATAATAATCTTTTCTTAAAATACTTACATATACCATCAGACAGAGTGCCATATTCTAAAATTGACAACAATCCTCCTTCATTTTGCCCTTTAGGTTGCCGTTTCCTAACCAGAGCAGTCTTCTGTATCTCTGCATGGCTGCCATGCAGACAGATATCTGCTAACGCATTGACGTAAATGTGTTTCAATTGCCATGGCCAGGCAGACAAGCCAGCTGATGATACTGCTCCCTAAAAAGAAGGATTTAGGATTCATAAATTTAAATATAAAATTTACATACACCACAAAAGTTACAAGTAACAAGTTACAGATTTAAAATGAAATGCAGAAATAATAGGGCGTGTAATAATAATAATAAATCATAGGGCATGGTAATAATGGGAACAATACACTTCTAGCATCTGGACAAGTGTAATAGATTTAATATACCCTTTCTTATGCTGTTACTATGAAATACCAAGATTACACTGTCTTTTTTATTTATGTCTGATAAAAGAACACAATTACAACACAGCAGAAACTGGATGAGTGAACACTTGACGCTAATTAATTTTACCTTCTTTTGTTGAGTATCTCCATCCTGCCCACAATCTACAGCAAGGTCCAGTAAAGCTTGTAAGCACAGCAGGCTTGACTTACCAGCCTCACCCAGGACCACCAGGCCCAGCCCAGAATCTACCCTGTCAACGTATACAAGGAGAAAAACCTGAAACCTGTGCATGATTTCTTACAAGAAATGCAAACATCAGTTTGCCAGTTTATTCACACTGAAATTTACTATCTTATTAAGTCCTAACAATAAAAATATCAGGCACATAACAACATAAATTGATTTCAAGACAAAGCTGACAAATAGAGGGTAATGTTTTACTGTGATATAAACAAAGGCAAGGACTCATTTTATTTGAACACATAAATATATGTTTTACAAGAAGGATATGAAATGGTTTCATTCTTTAGGCACTTACTTTATATTTTTGTTCCATTCTGAAAACTAAAAGACCTATTGGGTCTTTTTGTAGATAAATCACCATATGGAGAGACAGTGAATTGCTCAGAGATACAGCATATTTATAAAGGTGTTTATCTATCTATAGCTATTTACTTTGTAAATTTCATAATTATTGCACACTTTACATTATAGCACTCTATGGAACTTTGAACAGGGCTATAAATGAAGGTAACTACAACAGTGACCTAATGCTTGCATGTCTTGTGCACACAATACACAGAGAATATAAAATTTTTGATATGATGTGGAAATGCCTTGAAATGCCTGGGACTTCATTCATAAAAATAAAAAAGAATACATTTAAAAGCTTATCATTTGAATAACTTGCATATGTAAAGTCTCATACGTTTTAAACATATTATATTTAGGAACAAGTGATAGGTTTATTCCATGCTGAAAAGAGAAGAAAGGGTCCACAGCCAAAATGTTGTGTCTCCTTTCTTCTCTTTTCAGCATGGAATAAACCTATTACTTGTTCCTTTGCAGCCTACGCATGCTGACGCAGCTACCCACTTGAACATATTATATTTATATACTATACTTAAAACCTTATTGTTAGAATAACAAATGTTTGCAAATTGGTGGAGATCTGTTTATGATGGAAGAAATAACAGTAATGCAAATTGAGTTAAATGTTTTGTATTTTGTAGGTAATCAATCAATACAATCCTATACATTCCATATCCTTGTCTTTAAAATAAATCATTTTACATGAATTCATGATTTTACCTCTACTGTCAATTTATGGCTTCTATTATATATACAAGGACAACAAAGTTAGTTTTGACAGTTTTCACAGTTTTATGACCAAGAGTAAAGTTACATTTTAATAGATCATATTAAAGATAAAGACATAAAAATATATAGACAATTCATCAATATCAAGCTATTATGTACAAAAACTAGAGCAGCGTTAATAACGTTTGGCTCCATGCCCACAGAAAAGGAACTAGACAGCGCAATTAATTCTTGAAGAGGTAATGAATATACAGAACATTTATCAGGAGTAGATCATTGTGCACCAAATATTAATGTTCAAAACCTGCTTTAATAGAAAATACCTGAAGGTTCAAAACTTCTAAGTTGTTCTGATTGTGATCCAAAGTATTTATGGTTTACATAATAATGTTATTCATAGTATTTACAAGATATACTATGCGACTTATCCTGTGTATAAATATTATGTGCCTAGAATTGAAAAATAACTTCAGATACACCATAAATCTAACCAACAGGAAGATCCGAAATGATGAGTCTTAATCTTTGTAGTGAATAACTGATGGTTAGATATGGATAGAAAGAATAAAGGAAAACTGATACAATGAGGGAGTGGAATAATTCAAACACGATTACTATTGACAGAGCTCCTATTTTAACATGAATCTATAAGAAAATATCCAGATCTTAAAAATCTGAGTATTTGATCAAATTAAATAATTTCAAATAATCCATAGATATCTATAATAAACTGTACATTTGCTGTAAATAATTTGCTGTTAGGAATGAACGTGATAGGAAAAGATGAAGATGATATCATAATGAGTAAAGAGTACTTGTTGAAAATCACTCAGTGTTGAAGGCAGTCGTAACTAACAACTATACCCCCTGTGGCATAGTGGTACTCTGTGGTGTTCTCAGTCAGGATGCTGTGAGAATCAGTGCCAGAACTGATGGATGTTATAACAGGAAGGTTTTTATCCCTCCTTCATAGTGCAATTCTTACAAAACTAAGATAAGTTAATTAAGAACTGGTGGTCCCAAATAGGGGCAATTCTAACTAGAAAATTCTGTTGCCTCTAATTTTGTGAACCCAAAATTAAAACAGAAAAAAAAGTGTAATCTCAAATATATTGCAACTATATTGCAAAATGTAATGCTTAGAATTGAACATACTTAAAAAGATCACTACCCATTCATTGTCTGTAGAAACAGTTATGTCTTGCATACCAGTTTTTCTGCTGAAGCTCCTCTTGCAGGAGGACTAGATGCTGCAAAACGTCTTTGAGCTGCTTTATATTGTTTTGCACACAATACCAGCTGACCAGGCAATGCCACAGCACTTGATTAACGCCATCATCTTTCTGGTCAACTTCACCAGGATATTGACTGGGAGAACCTGTAGAGGGCTAAATGGATTTACTCATTTAACACAAAATACCAATCATTTCATATAATCAAAGGGCAGGTTTGCAGTGTATTTTGGATAAAAAAAACATTTAATTAATATACACTTTATTACCATTACCATTGGAACAACAGATAAGAATAAAGACACTTTAGTCAATGTAGGTTCATTAAAGGTTTCTTTAGAACTGAAAGACCTTATCTTTCTACACAGCTAGGGGACCCTATACGTTTTCTGCCAAAACACAGTATCGAAACTCACTATTTAAGCTCTTCCCAGAAATATTATGTGGGATTTACAACAGGACAGGAATCTGTTTAAATGATATAACATTTGGTACAGGCATTCATCTCTTGGTTGTTCCTTTTTATTCCTAATATATGTTTTGGCTTCACCACACAATGGTATCCAATAGTATACAATTTATGCCCACTGTATGTACTGGTAGTATGATGAAATAGTATTGAGATATCCTTTTCTAAGTATTCATTCACCTTGCTGTTTCCAAACAGCTGGAAACAGCCAAAAATAGTTGCTACAGTCCCTTTAATACTAAAGCATTGAGATAGGGTATAATGTTCTTGGAGATCTGTTCATCAACAAGGAAACAACAATGTTTACAAACAGAGAACTGTCATGGACATATTGTTAATGCTTGCTCCACATAAATAAAAGAACAATAGAGTCCAAATAGTGTGCTGTGTAATACTGCTTTTGACAAAATTCTATATTTAATTTATTTCATTAAATGGACAGGCTTAATTAAACTAACATCAAGTTCTTGTGTAAAACAATCCTAGTTCTTACACTTAAAAAGTAAGCTGGAGCATTGGAAACTGTCTATAGCACTTTGAGGATTTATTTTTTAAAAGTTATATATTTTTAATTTAATTTTGTGACTCAATCTATCTTTCAAGGCACATTTTCATGATGAACTATTTCAATTATTAACAAACTATTTTCTGTGTTTCTACAGTACATTCCAGTATTTTCAATATAAAAATGTTTATAAAAGCATTTTACATTTAGTGGAGGACATTTAATGTTTTGTGTAATGAGTTTTTCACATTTTTCACATTTCATACTAATATTTGCACAGATACTGTCAAGCATTAGTTTAATAATTTGTCATTTTCTTTGTAGTTTTTGGTGCTTTTAAATTTAACATGAGATTGAGAAGGGGCCAAATAAATTAAAGAATTAAAAGATTATAGGGTGTATAGTCATTATGGATATTGTTTTTTTGTGAACTAATTTCTCAAAAACATAACCAAAATAACAATACATTTTAACACCTCCTGACCCCTCATTTACACACTCTGAATTCCCAAGAAAGAAAATCTACAATAAAAGCAAACAGATCCAATAAAAGTACCATTCAATAAAGGTTTAACTACTTAGGTATAAGTAACCTAAACCTCCAGTATTCCATCCCCAGCAACACAAATCCAAACCGTGAGGAGATCCATATTAAAATAACATCAAGATAGGCTAGGGTCCAGTGCTCGCAGGGACGCTAGCCTAGCCTAGACAAGTTTACCAACTCCCAAAGTACCAACTCCATTCTACTGCAATCAAACCAGGACAAGTCTGGTGCCTGCTGTTGCGAGAGCCAACTTTGAACTTTGACCAAAAGCATGAGCTGACCAAAGAATCCTCTTGCCAGGAACAGTGGAAAAAAAAGAAACCTGTGTCTAGAACACAACCACATCTGGACATTCTGAAAATGTGTGTAAAAGGGTACCTATTTTAGCTTTACATGAAAGCACCTACAGTGCAAAGGTTTGGGGTTTTACTCCAATGACACTATCAATATCAACTGAAAGGCCTGACTGTAGTAATGGTGGCTGAGATCAATTCATTTTACACCCACACAGAGCAAAAAAATAGCTAACAGGATGGAGAGACATTTTTTTACACAAAACATTTATATTTCTATTCATATTGTTTGCATGGAGTGACATGTAAGGTTGCATATTGCTGACAGGAACAGGAGCAGAAGCAGATTAACAGACAGCCTGAGCAAGTGGTGGGGATAAAATAATAATAATAATAATAATAATAATAATAATAATAATTGCTTATGCTTATATAGCACTTTTCTGGACACTCCACTCAAAGCGCTTTACAGGTAATGGGGACTCCTCTCCACCACTGCCGATGTGCAGCATCCACCTGGATGATGCGACGGCAGCCATAGTGCACCAGAATGCTCACCACACATCAGCTATCCAGGGGGAGGAGAGCAGAGTAATGAAACCAATTCATAGATGGGGATTATTAGGAGGCCGTGATTGGTAAGGGCAAATGGGAATTACACCCCTACTCCTTTCGAGAAACGCCCTGGGATTTTTAATGACCAGAGAGAGTCAGGACCTCGGTTTTACGTCTCATCCAAAGGAAGGCGCCTGTTTACAGTATAGTGTCCCCGTCACTATACTGGGGCATTAGGACCCACATGGACTGCAGGGTGAGCACCCCCTGCTGGCCCCACTAACATTTCTTCCAGCAGCAACCTTATTTTTTTCCCCAGAGGTCTGCCATCCAGGTACTGACCAGGCTCACACCTGCTTAGCTTCAGTGGGTTGTCAGCTGTGAGATGTAGAGTGATGTGGCTGCTGGCCATTTTAGATTAATCCCAAGCACACCTGTGAAAAATATTCTGATTCAAATCTAAAATCTAAAATTCGGCAATCCATTTTAACATAACATCACAGTTCTTGAAGGATTAGTGTAAGCAAGCTATTCTGTTTAATTTAATCACATCTGACCTGTGTCTTAGGTCTGTTACACATGCAATGCTTGATATAACTGGTGAGGGTATCAATTTATTCCTTATGCAATCTACTCAGACACAATCTTTCAATCTTTCAGTGCCTATGTGTCCTTGGAAATAAATAAATGCTCCATACTAAGATATAATTTGTTTTTATTAATATACTGCAAAACAAAGTAGGATTGATTTTACTTATACTGAGACAGTGTGGCATTAACTGAAACTTTCTGTACCCCAAAACACCAATTTTTCAGATAATTCCCTAAATCATTTTCTTATTTATATATTACTGAAAGTGGAACTTTTCCCAGGAGGTCTCTCATCCAGGTACTGACAAGGCTCACACCTGCTTAGCTTCAGTGGGTTGCCAGTTGTGAGTTGCAGAGTGATATGGCTGCTGGTAAATGTAAATGTACGTTAAAGCAAAAGTGCTTTAAATATTAATCATGCAGGACTGATAATACTGTATGTAAAAAATAATAATGATAATAATAAACCAATACCTCCTCCCAAACAATTCTCCTATATAAACCTAAAGGGCAACCCGGTGCATGCAGGTTCCTTCCTCACAGCTAAGTCAGTTTTGACCAATTTTCCTATAAACTAAATGATAAAAATAAACGATGACAAAAAAGTTTAAATAGATTTGACAACCATCCTTAAATATGTATATTTTCTAAAATCTTCTTTCATTTCAGGACACAATGGAGCTGGAGCCTATTCTATCAAGCAAAAGGCTCATGGTAGAATATGCCCTCAAAGGAATGTGAGTCCAGCGCAAGGAAGACAGATACAAACACAGTCATCCACACACTCACACCAGGGCCAGTTTTCCCAATGGCCGATCAACCTACCGGTATGTTTTTGGACTGTGGGAGGAAACTGGAGCACCTGGAGAAAACCGATGTGAACACAGAACATACAAACTCCATGCAGGTAGCACCCCAGGTCCAAAACTAGACTCAGGGCCAAGCTCCACAAACCAGCAATGCTAACCATTGTCCCATCTAGAATTTACAGTTTTTAGAGTTATACTGAACAAGCATACAAAGTTCGGGTTCATTGCCATAGCTTGAACAGAAAAGCAAACCTGTTTCAGGGAAATAACATCACTGAATAACAGTTTGGTTTAACTCTGTGAGAGATGGAAAAAACAGTTTCTACATAATTGAAATGCCAGGCATGAAGCCTTCTGAATTAAAATGGGACTAAATTACTCAACACTCTGAAGTGGAAAGAATGGAAAGAAAAGGATAAGATTTCTTGTCAGGATTAGAGTACCTTTGCCAAGAAAATACATTAAAGAACAGTGCAACAGCTTCAGAAAAAGATTTGAAAGCTTCAGGTTTTATGCGACATCACTGCGAATTGCTAAAAAAGCCACACTTACCAGATGAGGATCTGGTATTATTTGCCTATACGTCATGTGGACATTATAGAACAGATAGTAGGAAGCTGCACAAAAAGATCAGTCTAACTATGAAACTATTCAGTACAAAGATGTATTACCTCACAGAAGAGCTTTGCGAGATTCACATGTTTGTGTTGCAAGCTGAAGAAAGTAGACATTGCTTAATGTGTCTTGCTCCTGGCCTTTGTGCAGCACACGTAGCAAAGCAGGATCAATGAACATTTTTAATTTTGCAAACAGCTCAAGGAAAGAACAACCAGTAACCGGTTTTTCAAGTTAAGAAAGTAATGAGGACTGCCATGATGACCCACTGCCTTTGGCATTGAAAGGTATTCGCACGTAAGCACGTGCAACAAAAACTACAGGAATGAGATATTAAAGATTGCAAATCAGTAAACACAGTAAAGATCATGGCTGCGAGCTTACTTTTTTTTTCATTCTTTGAGTGAAGAAATGGGAGCTGAGTGCCAGCATTTGTTATTCCATGATGAAGCAGATCAATACCAATCAAGAAGTTTTAAGTCTGACAAATGTGTCTGTCAACCACCGTGTCAATGTGTCAACCAAAGTCAAAGCATTAAAATGTACTTTTTGATTAAATATTAATGCTTTCAAATAGAAAACTAAATAAGCCCCAAACTGGTTGCATATACTTAATGTATAGTGTTTAGTTGGTTCCAATACTTGACATGTTTTCTGATTCTAATGTCTCTCAGTATATTTCGCTTACAAACATGTTTGATATGTGACATGGTTACTTCTATAGCATTTAATATTATGAGTTAAATTCCAAACTTTGAATTCCAAGTCCAAATTTCTAATGTTTCTGGAAGTTCACAAAATATTGTTTGGATTTGCAGGTGAATCACGGTGTAGAAAGCCTAGAAACTCCTGACATAAGTGGTTCTAATGATGGGACCAATTAAAGCAGTTAAAGTGGGTGGCCATGATAAGTGCCCTTGGAAATTAAAAGCTATGAAACACAACTGATAACTGTTAATATCATTGCTAAAGGGCTGGCATATACAGTAATATTTCCTGATCCCAAATCCATTCCATCTAACACCAGCCATAGACATTCCCATTCATCAAGTCAAACATTTTCTTAAAAATGCATTCACTTAAAGAACAGGACAGGGGAAGTAGCATCTATAGTATGATATGGAGCAGGCTGTGAACATGTCAGATTGTAGAATACTACTGACCACATAGACCCCACCCACCAACAACATGATAGCACCTTATATAGCTTGGTGTCAGAACAAATAAAAAAAACAGGACAATACCTTTCTCTTCAATAAATGGGTACAATGGTAGTATTAACATCCCTCTGAAATGAACGTCTTTTAATATTAATATTATTACAAGCAGAACTGGACCTAATTAGGCTAAATAAAATGTCTGAAGGAATAGATAGATAGAGAATACTTTATTAATCCTGTATGTGCCATCAATGCCACATTTACGCTTTGTCTAGTCCTCAACTTCCTCCTATGCCGAGATGGAGGACACAGGCACCTCCAACAGAGCTCCCTCTGCTGGAAAAAGACTAGGCAAACAAAGAGATCAGAGAAGTCTTGTACTCTTCCCCTGATCAAATTGTATAATTTAGAGGGAAACACACAATGTGAGTTACCTGCATGGCATCTGTAAGTAGTTCCACCTGTATTAATCTGGGCCTATTCGTGTTTCCCTTGTGCTGATCTAACGACCAGAATATCTGTAAACAATGTATTAATGCAGATCCTCAAAGCTAGTAAGTGGCTAGCTCAACTTATTGCAACCTACCATGTCTAAGGTTCCCTGAAAGAAGATCACAGTTCAAAAACAGTTTTGTTAAAATTAACAAAAAGAAATTGCACACCTACCTGTACTGAATCAATTGAATGCTTCTTCATGAAAATATCACATTCACACATAATTTCTCCAGTCTGTAATATGAAGTGAACAGCAAAGAGAACATTTGGAAAAGGTTTATAGCAGGGCTCACACTGGGTAAGAGCTAAAAAGAGAAAGGAAGCAAAGTGTTCAGAAACAGTTATCTGTAATGTATTTCTGATTTTCACTCAAAGGCTTTTTCCTTACCCCACTGTTTAATTTCACTGAATTTAATTGTGAGTGGTTGTTGTCATTGTTCAATTTTAAGACATTGGTGAAATTTAATAACCTTTGCAATATGAGCTCTAAATTATCTCTTTATTGTTAGTAAAATGTTTGTATTTCTCCTTCAATAATATCTGGAGACAGGCAAAGAAAACCCAGAATTCCCCTAGATTTTAGTTTTACTGGAAATAATAAAGATGTTTTTTATGACTTAAAAATAAATTAGAGCAAAGCAAACAGACACCACTGTTGGTGATCAATTAGCTTTTATCACACATCTATGCAATTATTTATACTGTTTGTCTAAGCAAAAACTGGCTCCAAAGTTGATAAGAAGCAAGAAACATAATTGTGCAAGTATTTACTAAAGCTACAGTATTCTACTGAAGTGCTCTTCAATGATTCACCTCTGCCTGAAAGAAACATTTTATCACATCATGTGGAGTGTTATGAAATTGGAAAGCACTAATGACAGGCCACCTACAGAGAAAGTCATTAACTTCTGTGCTCTGATACACTGAACAAGAAAATTATGTGTATATGATATCCAATGACAGCAGGTAAGCGTAGCTTATATCTGCATTTCATATCTGCTTGATTCTTTCTTTATTATTGCGTCAAGTCCATCTTGCTTAGAAATAAGGGGAAAAAAATAAAATGATTCTAATTAAGATGCATGTAAATGTTTACCCAATTAATACATTTTACAGAAAAAGCCTTGTGGGATTTTGTGTCCCAGTGCATTTAAGACCTTTTACAACCCAATTGCTTCAAAGGTCTGAGGTAAAAATAAGTTAAAGCCTGTTAAAAGAAATGCAGTATTTTAAAACTTTTCTATGCATGCAACGCTTGCAATGCAATGCAAATGGAAAGAAATTATGAAATGCCACCTATGGAGAAAATAACAAATATTCCTGGTGAAATCAATTATTTCTCTTTAGTTTGGAAACAAAAGGAAGCAATGACCTCTTGTGGTCAAAACTTGAAGTTCAGCCCTGAGAACTTAAAAAACATTCAAAAGCATTATGAACTTCTACAGTTAATTTTCCATTACATTGTTAAAATATTTGTGGATATATCTACAGTCAGTAATTAAGTTATTCGGGAAAACACATTAACTTTAAAGAAAACAAATATAGTATGCTGTATTGTTGACTTTTTATATCTCAATATATAATATATATAATTATACGGTTATCATGTGCAAGAATTGCATTACTTTATTTTTAATTTTACATAGGATATCTACAAATTACAACCACATATCATCTGGCAGACACGCAATTTAACAGGTCATCCAATACAGAACCATAAGTGTGATTTTAGCTAATAATGTGCCTTCCTATAGACGAATCATACTGTTTCCCTTCAATACAAAAAAACAGCCCTTGAAAAGTATGGGATGAAATGCATTAAGGTTTCTGGTGATTATTTTTTCAAATCTGCCAGCCTAGACAGTGGATGCAATATCTCTTATCCCCACACTGCCCTTAAGAGTCATAGCAGTGCTGCTCCAGCATTTTTCCACATTACTTAAGCTTGCACCTACTGTATGATCAGTGCTCTACTGCCCACTATATCTATGCACTATAGTGTTTCAATCTGGTACTTGTGACATCAATGCCTTCTTGAGATATTTTGTGCCTCGTTGAGATACTTGCCACCCAGTTGCCAGACCTTGGCATATTTGTTACATGCTCAGTGCATCGGCAAACATAGGTATTTCTTTTACTACAGAGAGTTCCTTAGTATCTACAGTAGAACCACTGTACACTCTCTCTGTTTGCCCCAAGTGGGACAGTACATTGTCTGTGATTCAGCACCCCTATGCATCTCATGCTACAACTCTAACTTGGTGCCTGGACACACTCCCCATGCCTCTACACAGCAGCTCCTCATGGAGGTCAACACACTATATTATCATCAATTCCCAACAGACACAACAAAGTAGTGACTGACCCTCCATGGATGACTCAGAGCTCACCAAAGATTGCCTTGTAGCCAGAGACTCCAACTGTGATGCAGTAACCAGATCCCCTGGTGGGAAAAGAGCTGCTCAAGACTTGTACCTGGTCTGTTCCTACTTTGATACCCTGTCTTCTTTCTAGGGGCCTCAGAAGTTTTCTGGGTTCATGGAATGCAAAAGAGAAAGACCTCTGGTGCTGGACTACCATGGTTCCTCCTGAACTACACAAAGGTTTCTGCCCTGTCCAGCACGTATGGTAACGGAGACTAAATTCCTACAAATGATCTACCACTTGTCCAACCCTATACAGCAGTGCCTTGTAATGGATGCTGACTTCTGTAAGACCTACCAAGCTGGTGTTCAAGCTGCTGAGAAGCTGAGAAGTGGAGAGATGTCATCCTAGCTCTTAACTCTTGCATGACTCCACCTGAACTGCCTGGATGACAAGCTGGTATATGCTCAGTCCTTAACTCTGAACAGTACACATTTCTTGTAACTGATCACATCAAGCAGCTTGGTTTCATTAAAAAGTGTCTGGCATTTTCCATTAAAATGTTGTGAGATGAGACTGAGAACAGAGTGAAAAAGAAGAATGTGGAAACAAATACACTCTGACAATAGGACACATTGAGACCAAACTGATTAAAACAGATAACAATGCACTCATGACACTTTGTGACAAACAGCACAGAGAGTAGGTGTGAAGAACTGGGACAGAACATTTCCAGAAATCATCAATCACTTCCTTCCATTATCATTTATTACTAGCAGGGGCTCTAGCAACATAGGGCATGGGACAGGACTTTACCCAGGACAAGACACCAGTCCATTATAGTCACAGATTAACTGATAGAACTTAATATGCTGCACATAGAATTTCTAAACCTTGTCAATGGTCTAAGAAGTTCAGAATTACATTCAATTTTTGCCCTTGGATTGGATATGTATAAGATGTGAAAACAGTTAAATGCTTAATTCTGTCACTGTATTAGCATGACTGTCAAAATCTGAGAGGAATGAAACCCTAGGACACCCTCCTCCACGTTTCAAGACTTTTCAATATGTGTGGAACAACTGTTTAAGATCTAAAAATACAATGGTGAGCAACTAGGATGACAAATAACTTGCCATGAGGTGGATGACAAAGTGTTCCGACACATACTCATGATCGTTTCACCTGAACCCAGACATCCAACCTCAAAATCAACAGACTGCCCAACACATATTATGGAAGTAGATTCAATAGGATATTTCTGCTTTTCTTTGCCAAATCAAGACTGAAATCCAATCAAGCATCTCGGGAGTGACATCGATCGTCAGATTCCTGCTTTTCAAACCAGAACAGAGCTTGAGTGAGAACTCATGTAGACATTTTGTATGCAGTACTGAAATTGTGACTTCTTCAACTGACCTCATCTCACCAAGAGGAGCTCAAACACAAAGGCTGATATTTCATTGGGAAAGTAATATTAATTACATTTTTTCTAAATAACAGAAGTATAGTATAACATTACAGAATAATGCATTATGAATGAAAAATAAAATGTCAAAATCCATCCAGGTTATGTGTATGTTTTCTATTTCTGAGAGTACTTATCAGTTTGTCAACAATCAAGGCAGAAATAAATTACTTGGAAATGAAATACATTTTGAATACATTCACAAATTGTATATACATATCGTATATGTAAAAAAATCTTACCTTTTAAGAAATTAAGAAGACGGAATTTATTTTCTGTATATCCATTCAAACAATTTGATTTATGTAACAGAAATAGTCTCAAAAAAATAAGATGTCCAAGCTTTAAGAAAGGAAGAATATAAAAGAAAAAATAAGAAAATAATATCCATCACCTATTATCCAAATAATAAATAATATGATTTAATAGTAATGTGCACTGACATACACCACTGTGTTCGTACCTCACATAGTTATGTAAATCATATATAGCACTATGTAGCATTTAGGATACACACAATAAGCAAGAATGATTCTGTACAGGCAAAATAGCCAGTACTGATTTATTCAACATCCTGGTGTGCAAATCTTAATCTTCTTAAAAATAATATTTGAAGCTTTAAAAATTGATAATATTGGTGGTTGTGTTTTGCTTTTTATTGTCAGTGCAGATATCTTAAGACCTAATTAATTATAGAATTATGATACTGTATTATATTATGTACAGAATAGTATAATATTCAATTAGACATTATATTTTAAAATAATCATGTTTACTCTGATCCCACTTATATCCAATTAGAGGTATAATTAAATAATTATAAAGAACGTATAAAAATAGACTGATCTCAAATTGCTTTTTCCTGTTTCAGCCCCCTCCTCCCTTCCCTTAATTTCTATTGCTGAAGAGGCCATCAACAGCGACTGCAGGTTCCTAAAGTTACCTTTAACATCTTGACTTCAGAGCTGTACAGAAAGGGCTTCTGCACTGTGTCCGTGCAGAGCCAGTAGAGAACAGACTCTGCAAGGTAGAAAAGAACTGGTGCGTGCTCATCATGCACAGGAGCTTGATCCAATGAAATCAAAAGAACATCCAAAGATTCTTTGACAAAATAGAAAAAAAATAGCAATCAGGTTGGTATTTCGGCAATAAAGACAAAAACCCAACGTTAGTTGTCACTGTGGAGCTCGCAGAAGGTCAAACAACAAGCAGCCCTGTCAGGCAGGAGTGACAAGAGAGCACGTACTGTGTGAGAGCTCAAACAACAAGCTGAGCTGATTAATATTTAGTGATTAAAAGTTGGGGGAGTATAGATAAGAAAATGACTGTTACTTCTAAATTTAAAATAGTAACATTGGAAGAATTCTGCACATTTTAACCACTTACCATCTTGAATTTTACCTCGGCACAGAGCAAGTAACAAAAGCTCTGTCCAGGCAAGTGGGAAGTCAACATGGTCTCCTTGGCCTTGAGAATTCAATCCAGCTCTACGCTTTTGTAGGCATAAACAGAATAACGTTATGTCTATTTTGTGCTACATTCAACACAAGTAAGGAAGAGATGTTTGCTACTGTCTTTGCTAAATAACTTTGTGTTGAAGAAAACCGATAAATACATGTTGAGTTAAGTCACAGAACTGGGACAACAGGTGAAATATTCATATGAGTTTTGAGCGGTGCGATAAGGAATAAGTGTGACAAATCCCAGCAAAAAAAGTTCAAATTGTTCTCTCCTATTTTAAATTTCCAGTAATAATCTTTTAACTGTGAAATCCAACTGAACAAGACAGAGCTAAATTTTGGAGAAAACTTAATTTTCTTTTAGCCTTAAAACATTACGTTTCAAGAAGCTGACACTCATAAGACTACAAATAGTGGGGAAATAAAATCAAAAGTTATCCTAAAAAACACTGAAACAAGCAACTCTGCCCAGTCGCTGAGTAAATCTTAGTCAAGGCATCTCCAACCTTGGCTCTGGAGAAATAAGCAAGTAATCTGTTTAATTAATGGAACTCTGTTCCTTGACAATTGAAGGGTATTCAGATTTGTGCAAATAATGATTGTTTTATTACTTAATTTAACAAACCAACTAACTAACCTACCACCTAATTGTTTAACTGCCTTAAAATTCAGAATGAATGTAAGTCTTCAATAATTATAATTTTAATGGTTACCTTAAAAAAAACCTACAGGACTAGGACTCTCCAGAACCAGTGTTAATCTTTCTCTTAGTCATATTTTTAGCTACAAAGTCTACAACAAATACACACAGAAATAAATATAACAAATTGATACAAATCAGGCGAGAAGGAAATGTACTGTACCATGCTTCGTCTAAGCATTTTTCTTGCTTGATCCACAGAGTGTTCCTGTTCCTCAGGTTCCTGCACACTGTTGTATTTCTTGATGAATTCCTCAGTTATTTCAAAGGGGTTTCTAAACACAGAAGACCCCCCCCCCCAAAAAAAAAAAATGATGCCCACAGCCTAGATAAGCGATGCATAAGAAATATATGCATAATTCCAAAATTAAAAAATGGCACACGTTTCTAGTGCCCAAGGCATACTGTATGTAAACAAGCAGCAGTAGCAGTCAGAGAGCATGTGAGTAGAGAGACCCCTGGTGGGCTGAAGGAGTATTGGTCAAAGGGGGGTCTCCTCCTGCATAAGGAACATCTCTCTCTCCGTGGAGTCATTACTCCTGGTAAGAGCGATTAACATGTGTGAGCTTCCTAATACTGGCACTCTGGCTGTTGCAGTGGTAGTAGTAGATGATTTGTGTTTGTGTTGCCATTTTTGTTAAGGACAAGACAACCCGACTGATACCTTGGCTTGGTTAAAGAAACAGCTGGATAAGACTTTGGATCAAACCTGCTACTAGCAAAAAAATGTGCTGGATGGGTTAAAGGGCCTCCTTTACAACCTGTCTTACATTGATCTTTATCACTAATTTATCGATTATTAATATAAATTATTGATCTTTACCATTTATGATACTATTGTGGTACTGATGACTTTATTTTATTCAACTCAGTGTCCTTAAGCACTTTAGTCCTGAGAACTCATCAGAATTCTGTTGGATTGCAGTATAGTCAACTGTGATGACTGTATTGTACATATGTATTATGGTATATATTCATAGCACACACATATCTGTCATTTTGATGACTGTTCAAATGGGGAGATGCGTCAACGTGCATTAGCTGCAAAAGAACATGTAAAGGTTAATTTTCACGTTGAAAAGTAGAAATGACTTTTCAGCTACAGTATTGAGCCTTCTTCTGGTGTACAGGAGAGAGAGTAGAGTTGCAGGAGAAGGTGAGAATGGGCACAGGGCAGGTGAATACGAATATCCAGACAAAGAGAGATCAGGGGAGAGGTGTGAAAAACTGAAAACCCGTATATGAATGGAGAAGACTTTTTAAAGTAATTGAGAACAAAGGTGTGATGTCAAGTTAAGGATAATCTTTACCCCTGTTGCTTTTCTGGAATAGGAGTCCTAAAATGAACTCCTGTGTGGTGACATTTTGGTTGGCAGAGGTTTAATGTGAAAATGCTTAGTGAGATCTTTGCTCTTCAATGTTCTCACATGCTCTTACTCTTACAACACTGTTGTAAATGGCAGAGCATTTTTTGCAAAAAATGCAGCAGATGAGATTACTCTGTATCTAACTTGTTCTCTGGTGATTTTGATACTATATACATATTTGCAAGTTGTGATACTACAGTATCTACATATTTGCAAGTTTTATATGACAAAATTTAGGTTACATTTTTAAAGCAGTCTCTGTCACAGGAAAAGGTTCCTAGTGTGGATGGTAGCTGTTGGTGGTTAAAAGAACTGTGGACAAGAAGGATGTGACTTTGTAGACAAAACAGAATAATAAGAACATTTTTAATCTAAATGCTTCCTTACCTGCTAGGGCTAATCTTAGCATTTTGAGATGCTTCCAGTTCTTGAGCCTTTTTAAGCAATCTTCTTTGTAGATCTTCTTGATGGGTTTGGGATATAATCCCAAAGTTGTGAACTACTGGAATTTTGATGATGGGCATCTTCTTTTGCTAGTAGGTTAGATGTTTTATTTCTAAAAGAAGAAACATTGTGTTTACACAAATCATTAAAGTACTAATTAATCTGAGTTTTCAGGAGGTAATGTTTCTGTATAATATTCTTCTAGACAGCTATGTGCTGCGTACCCTACCCATCTTTTTAGATAAACCAAAAACCTTATTTTGAATGAATTTCAGTTTTTGGTTTGCCTTCTCATTTTTTAAATGCATCCGAAATTACACTCTTACCTATTTTGATTTCTGACCAAAGCTTTCTAATGAAAAACATTGAGTGCTATAGGGGGAAAAAATCATTTTAATTGTGAAAATGAAGCGTCTTTAGAATTTGTTTCACAAGATCCGATACTTCGAGCAGAAATCGTTTGTTTTGGTGTTGCTATGACTGCAGAGAAAATATTCAATCCAAAACACAAGTCATTACAACGCGGAAGTTTCTTTATCTTTAATCGTCAGAACATTTCATATAAATAGTTTCCAACTTACATAGTGGTGGAAGTTATTTCTTACCCGAAAGGCTGTCGATTAAAATAAATCATTTTCAGGTATGAAGTTAGTACTACGATTCCCAGAGCCCTTTGCTTTAGAGGGAGGGGGAAGGAAGTACTTCCGGTTTTAGGGAAGGTTCGACAGTGCTGTTTCCTTGTTTCTTGTTTTGCTGGAAGAGCTTGCACGCTTTTTGCTGTATGTGTAATTTTGTCAACACATTTACAATAGTTTGAGATTAGTGAATAAATCCTTCCACTCTAGAGCTACTGTTCTGCTTTACCCCTGACAATCTTCGTTTGTGTACTCCATGACTTCACGCCGGCCCGAGAGCTTTGATGGCTTAGGTTATAGAGGTAGGGAGGATCCTGTTCATGGAGGGGGATACACGGGAAGGTCATTTAATAACTCATCTAGCGCAGATATGCAGCACTGGGTAACGACACCACCCGATATTCCTGGGAGCCGAAACCTGCACTGGGGAGAACGAACCCCACAATATGAATCAGCTGCATCCACAGTCCCCGGTTCCGAAGAGACTCAGCAGATTTCTACTGGACCATCTGGTGGTAAGGAGACAACAGTGCAGTGTAACAGTCAAGTGCATCTGATCATTATGACCGTTTAGAAGCAGTTTAACGTCCGCAGCAATATTTAATCCTTTCATTTAAAACTGTTCTTTTAAATACATGCATTTTTTCCGTAACCTTACCAACGATTTCAAAATACTTTAAAGGAATAATTTAAGGGAAAATGTATAATTGCTGACTTTATTAAGGCAGCTTTGGGTAGGCCCATTTCTGCCAAGGGAGCAAAAGACAACGTTGAACTAATTGGCTTAAAGAATAAATAGATTTTAAATAAGAGGCAAGACACTGCATGGTTCAAGTTAACGTAATTGGAGGTTTTCAGCATTTGGTGAATAACGAAAGCGTCAGGGGTTTGTCGTAGCATAGGAGCGGGAATAAACTAGCGAACCCTTAGGGATAATTAAGGGGCGTTTCTTTTATGGACGGGGTAAAAATCGAAGCAGGTCGGAAACGCAGTTTAAACAATATATTTGATTTTGTTAAGAGCTGGGAATTTAAAGGTATTCGTACGGATCACTGTAGGTCTGTCTTCGAACGTGGTATTGACCCAGTCTGTCTGTAGAACAGTAATGCTGATCAAGACACGCAACTAATGGTTCCGAAAATGCAAACACATTGGAATGGATTGAGTAAGTCTTTAAATGTACGTTTCGGGATTAAAACTGTTTTATCACTAAACAAAGAGTTCTAGAAGTGCCAAATGAGAAGATAATTGCACATACAATACAACTAAGGAGGACAGTATGCAGTTGATACTGTATAACAAATTTAAACAACAACAATAATAAATTAATTCTCAATAAATCCACCGATACTGCCATCCACTGCGATTTCCAGGACCAGCAGTACCTAGATCTGCCCGGGTCACTCGGCTCCAAAGTTGTTTAGGGAGAAAAGTGAATTAAAAATAAATGCTGAGTGAGAAAATCGATATTGTTGAGAAATCTCAGAAATCCATTTTAAGGATGCTGAGTCAGAAAAGCCTATCCCATCGCTTTATGCACATTTGTGCATATCTTTACACTTTTTATTCTCGATTTTAACCGCTTTTAAGAATGATGAATTGTCATTGAAATAATGTTGCAGTGATGAAAAACAGTAAATCAGTTGCATTAGTTATACAATATAATTATGTGTGGCTGATTATTTTTCTGTTTTTGATACTAAGTGTAGCACTGCAGCTTTGCATATCAAGGGCATTGGGCCTGAATTCACATGTTTGTCTGTCTGCCCAGTGATGGACTGGCGTTCAGTAAAGGGTGTACCCTGCCTTGCACCTGTTGTTTGGCAGGATAGGCTTCAGCTCTCTGAGGACCCTGAGTTGGAAGAAGTGGTTAAAAATGAATGAATAGATGGATACATTAAAAGGGGACTCCTATATCAATGCCTAATACATCACCAACAGTATTTTGGGCATTTGTGTAGGTCACTAGGAGCACAAGTCAGCCCTAGAAAGCACAGGTGATAACTTATGCCTCTAAGTATGGTTACAAATGAGAGGTTACAAAACTGGTGAAAATCAGGATTTGACCGAGCAGTTACGTCAATAAGTGAAATAATTAGTCATAACCCCCAACTTGTAAGTGATTTCTAGCAATATACCCGAGTGGCTGGTATAATTAGAGGCACAGCTTTGGTGAGAGGAGTAATAATCCAGGCACACATGGTTAAACAAAAAAGAATTACAATGACAAAACACAAACTATACAGTATTCTCTATATACAGTATACACACACCTGAAGAAGGCTCCATGACTGAAACGTGTTTTGTTTCTTTTTTTTCAGCATGGAATAAACTTGTTCCATTGCAGCCTATGCATGCTGACGCAGCTACCCACCTGAACTACTATGTACAGTATTTACAAACAAGGTGTTTCAGAGGCCTAACATTCTGGTCACCTAGAAAACCCTAGACTGCTGCTAAGCATTAAACTCTTAATGCCTACAGAGGCCACATAAGAGATTAGCTGCCTTCTAATGAAATACAATGCAACCTGCAGTTAAACCTCTCTCTGCACCCCGGATGCCACAAAATAAATGGGAGCCTATATTCCTATCCATTAAAATGAACCCTAAGCACAAAAGACATTTCTAACTGAGGTATGTTTCACTCAGGAAACACAAGTTCCCTAAAAACACACACCAGCGATCTCTCTCTAACAAGGTGCACATATTTACCTCCAGTCAGGTTTAATTTGGATGAACATGAAGTAGGGCTCTCGCCTGGTGCAAGCTTCAAGTCCCATCTCCTCCGGACATCTGTCTCTCCTCTTCTTCTTCCCTGCTTCCTCTTCTTGAGCTCTTATTGTGATCTTATAGTGTGTCTGTATTGCTTCTTGACAATCATCACTCCACAACTTACCTAGGTATACAAAGTTACATTTTACCATTGTTTCTGCTGAAGAGACCCCCCAGACCTCAGCAAACATCCTCTCTGCTCTGAACTTAGAAGTGTGACACTGCCAAGTTTCACAAACTTTATCTTAAATATAAGAAGTACTTCTCAGTCACCTAAAGCTGTAACAGTATCATAATTATTACAAACTCTTTAAGGCCTCTTGCACAGGTTACTCAATAGGAATAAAGATCAAGCTGAAGTGTAATTCTCTTCTCCTGCTGTGAATAAGAACTCAGCTGTAAATGTCCCTCATGGATATGGGAGAGGTTAAATACAGCATTATATTATGTAGTTCAGGGGGGTAGCTGCGTCAGCATGCATAGGCTGCAAAGGAACATGTAATAGGTTTATTCCATGCTGAAAAGAGACCTGAAGAAGGCTCCATGGCCAAAACGTTGTGTTTTCTTTCTTCTCTTTTCAGCATGGAATAAACCTATTGCTTGTTCCTTTGCATTATGTTATGTTTCATATTCCCCTTTGTTCTGCAGTCTTTTTATGACATTTGTCTACATTTTGACAGGACTGAACTTACCCTGACTAATTCTGTTGCAATCGTCTGCTGTACTAGAATGGTACCAGTTGCACTACACAGAATATGTGTGAAGCAACGCATTTATATGAATCATACTAAACTGCAAAATTGAGTGGTGGGTGAATGATCCTCTCAAGACAAGTTAACCGTTGTAGTCATCTGCAGCTTTTTAAATGTTTGCACCTATAATAGCAATTAGTTCAGAGGCCGTTTATGAAATCAAGGCATGCAGTCATCTTCTGCTTCACAAAATAAGCATTAGAATCCAGAGACAGCTGTCTGTGTTTGTAGGGCTTACTCAGCTATCCTTGCTCAGTCACCATGTTAACCAGTCAGTTGTCATCCAAGAGAAATTTCATATCTTTGGCAATGATGAAACTTTTCCTTATATGAGCACTCTTCATGCATGAATAGCCACCTGTTCCCATAGATTCCCATAGAACATGTATTGCTTTTCTTTTGGTTTTAGGGGATCTTAAAAACTCCAGTGAACACGGATTAAGCTCACCCATTGCAAAAGTAGGGGAAACAATAATTTATCTAAATGCTGAACATTATTGTAGCAGTTTTGTTTGTTTTTTTTTTATTTTTGGAATGCAGTGCAGAATTTTGTGTATTTATATGTTAGGCAAAACAGGTATTTTGTTACTGTAATTTTTTACAGCTTTATCATATAATCTGTTGTAAAACCGGAACTAAATTTTATATTCTTATTCAATTAACATGTGACACTAAAACATGGGGAACCTAAATAATCTTGTTTTTCATTATGTAGAACATATTAACTCTGTAAAAAACCTTAGGCTGAGAATCTGGTTTTTATTTGAACTCCACACCACCCACCTAAGAATAGAAATGATAGAAAATGCTTAACTTCTTTTTAACCGCCAGACGTTTGCAAGACAGAAAATGATTATCTTTGTGTCTGTGTAGAAAGTTGTTAATTACATGTTTCTTCTATGCAATCTATGAGAGAGAGAAAGTAATTCTGCATATTAATTTCTTTTATCTTTCTAGCCCAGAAGGGAAGTGTGACATAAATTACATTGCAGCTCTTCAGTTGGTTTCAATGTTGACCCTACTCTTCTTTAGGATTCAGTGGTTTGTTTTTATTTATTCTTTGTTTTAATCCCACTTATCAAAAACAGTTTTAAGACCCTGACAATTGATTTTAACTTGTAAAATATTTAGTTTAAGTAGCAATGTCATGAAACTAAGTTTTGTAGCTTTGAAATATAAACAGATTTAACATAAAATGTATTTCCCAAGTTTTATTTAATGTAATTCTTGCCTGACTTCATTGGATATACATGTAACATTGTAGGTAAACTTATCAAAAAATGAACTTTTCTGTCTTCTAGAACTGCATCTTAGATCCTCATTCATATTGATCCAGCCACTGAAAATGCACACCAGATAATACACACCGTGCCACGGGGTACTGCTCGCTTTGAAAAATATTCAGTTGTCGGACTGCACTACTTTGTAAAACCACCGATGGAGCACTGAAAACTTAACGTGGCATGTGGAAGCATTTGGGTGGTTACCAGAAAACGCATGGTTTCGAATCCTGGTCAATGCTGAGACCCTTGAGAAATCCCTTTCCAATTATAGAATTGAAGTTGTATACTGTTTAGGCTTTTATTAATTTTAAACTGTGTGTTATAGTCATTTAAATATTAAGTTATAAAAGGAAGAAGGGCTACTTTACAAAAACAACATTACTCAGTTTGATAAATGAAAAATAGTTTATTATTCTACTGTTGCTTGTTGCCAACCAGTGTGCTTCTTTCAGGCTTACATCCACACACATACTGTACTGTAGTGGCTTTAAAACGACATGATATGATACTTTATATACAGCATATAATGACATTGCAGTTCATTGACATGTACGCTACTATTTCAATATATCTATTGATATGACTTCATGGGATTTGCGTGTGTGGAACAGTTCAGTTCACTTTGTCATTCTCACTTATACAATTGTAAAAGAGAGAACGAAATATAGTTTCTCCTGGGCCGAGGTGCACAATACACTAGAACAGTCAGCATAACGTCACAGTACAATGAAAAGAACCGAGAATCATTAGCAGCTGTTGAGGTAGTATTGGTGTATATAAGTAAACATAAAACAATGTAATGAGTAGATAAATAAATTAATAAATTGGTATTCCGGTAGTTTAGGTAGTCATGTATAAATAAGCATTCTGAAATACATGGTTGGGTTGTGGGAGCGGGAGGCAAGTGCAGACAATAGTGCAGGACATAGTCATAACACAACATTACAAGGCATGCGGTCAGTGAGACGGTGGTGATAGCACTGCAGTGGGTGGTTGTTCAGCAGGTGGTGATCAGTCCATGTGCTGTTTGGAATTCATTAATCTTAACAGCCTGTGGGGAAAAAGCTATTCCTGAGCCTGGTGGTTCTGGCTTGTAGGCTGTGATACTGTCTTCCAGAAGGCATGGGGTGTAAAGAGACTGTGAAAAGGGTGAGAGGGTCTTCAATGATGATACATGTGTCGAGAGACAAGACCCAGCGTGGGGGTTTGTTTTGATTATATCGTCCAGAAGTGCTGCTTTTGACCAACAGCTAATTTTGCTTGAATTTAAAATCTGCCTGTACTGTAGCTTTCATTTAATTGAGCAGAATGTCACCTTGCTCTTACAAGTGGCTCAATTAGCAGAGTTTGTGTTAACACGCCACACCCTTTTGAATGATTTTTTATCACCTTTCTCTGTTGGGGGTGGGAGTTGGGGGTTTGGGAGAGTGATGGAGAGTGAAATAAAAGCACACAACAAGTTTCCCTTCCCCCTTCTGCGAGGTAATGCAGATAATGCACTAACTGGCTGGCATGAAATAATTCCTCCTCTTTCCAAGCATCCTGGCTGCAGAATGCTCTTTCTGTATTGCTGAGTTCCACACTGCTTCACACCACATAAAGAGAGGAGATTGTGTGATTTTTTCTGTACAAAATGAGTGTTGTGTTTACAAAATTAAAGTGTTTTAAACATTTCATTAAAAGGTAAAAAATTTTTTTAAATTTCTAAAGTTCTAGAATTTTAGCAGAATTAGTTAGGAGTTAGATATAGGATGAAAATATTTTGTTTACAAAAAACCTATTGTTTAGGTTATCCAAAGATGTTTTTTGCACAGACATAACTGAAGGCAATTTAAGGATCATTGGTACCACTTCAGTGCTCAAGTACTTATTCACTATGTATTACAGTAGGGCAAAGGACTGGAAAACATGATTGAAATAAAACACGAGGAATGGGATCTAATAGACAGGTTGTGGGTTTTATTAGCAATAGCAATTAACTGAGGCCTGCAGTGTCAAGCTGAAAGAAAGTGAAGAACCAGTAAAAAGAGACAGGTGTAGTAGTGGTACATGCTGGATATTGTCAATATTGGTTGAAAAAAACTGGTAAGCGGTTACCAGTTAAGTTTTAACAATCAATTGATGGTGAGGAACATATTTCTAGGATTGATTTTTAACGACATGAGAGTAGTAACTCCCAGCAGATGTATCACCCTGCAACTAACAACTGGCAACCCACTGAAGCTAAGCAGGTGTGAGCCTGGGAAAAACTAAGGTTGCTACAGGAAGAGGTGTTAGTGGGGCCAGCAGGGGGCACTCACCCTGCAGTTCATATGGGTCCTAATGCCCAGTATAGTGACGGGGACACTATACTGTAAACAGGTACCGTCCTGATGAGACCAAGGTCCTGACTCTCCGTGGTCATTAAAAATCCCAGTGCATTTCTCGAAAAGAGTAGGGGTGTAACCCTGGCGTCCTGGCCAAATTTCCCATTGGCCCTTACCAATCATGGCCACCTAATAATCCCCATCTATGAGTAATGAGTGGCTTCATTACTCTGCTATCCACCCTGTCTGTCCCATTGAGAACTTGTTTGCCAGAGCCCCATGTGCTTAGCATGATGGATCCTTGAACCCTAACAGACCTTCACAGTAATTTAAGGGGCTACAGAACTGAAGGTGTCTAGCTGTACCTCCATACTTGAATCAGGAGCGGACCTGATTTCAAAATGCAGAATACAACACATGTACTTCATAGATATGTTAAATCATAGCTTTTGATTTCCATGAGTTTAGCGAAAAAATCTTTACCTTTGTTAGCCTCATTTGCCTTTCTTGTCAACATGTCTTTGTCTAATTGTGTTTTTTGTTGTTTGAAAAGATGGTAGCATGTGACAATCAAATGGGTATGTTTTTTTTTTTCATTTCAGATCAGATAAACAGGTTTGCTGGATTTGGAATTGGCCTGGCAAGGTAAGAAAATCTGTTAGTTATTCATTACTTGTGTTACAAATGATAACACTAATATACATTGTGTGAATGGGAAGTATAAAATGAAAATTCTGTATCAGAATGCTTTTCGCATGATAAGATTAAGCAGGATATTAAAACAATCCAGATATACACATCTATACATACTGTACGAACAACATATGGACTGATATAATAACAGTTATTAGACCATTTTCTAACCATATCATCCAGTTCAGAATCATAGGAGAGCCTATCAGCAAGCAACAGGTGCAAGGAAAGGTCCTTCCTGGACAGGATGTCAGTCCCTCACAGGGCAAACACAGACACGCACAAACTCGCACCAGGGCCAATTTTCCCAGAAGTCAATTACCTCACCAGTGTGTCTTTGGGCTGTGGGAGTAAACCGGAGTACCCGGGGGGGGAACCCACACAAACTAAGGGAGGACATAAAAAAAGCACTTAGATAGCACCCCAGATATGGTAAGAATTTAAGATACCAGAATAGTGAATGTGCTCACAGCAATGAACTGAGGCTCATTCGCAAGAATCAAGGGTTCATTCAATGACAGAGTGGTTTTCTTTAACATCCAACTTTTTCTCTGTGATTTCTTGGTTGTGTTGGAAGTATTTTGCTTGTTAATAGCTCTAAAAATGAGAAAAGAAAAATGACACAAATGTATTCAAAAGAAGAAGGACAGTAGTAACCTTTGATATAAAAATGGATATCATAAAAACTGAATTTGACATTGGCAATGCTCTTGGTCTTAATCATTTGACCATTGGAACAGTTACTGAAGAATAAGAAAGATTTGCGGATTAAAAAGCTTCAGGAAAACAGCTTCAAGTGATGTATTGTTTTAAATGAAGCCCTGCACAATAACTGCTGAATTCAGATAGCATGGCTGCTCAGTTGTGTGAGTTCGAAACCTCAGGCAACTCCAGCTAACTAGGGATAAAGAACACATTCTCAATACATCTTCTCCTGGCTTAATATAAAAAAAATCCCAGTAATGAGACAACATCGTGTACCTTTTTCAGCTGACATTTATCTTGGCTACAGTAGACAGACATTTTGTGTCACCAAAAATACTGAAGTTTATGTGTTTTTTCTTAGATAAGCTAAGTAGCAGAAGAACATAGGGCTGGGCGATATGGCCAAAAACATCATCATGATAAAAATGTTCATATCAGTCGATATTGATAATTATTACGATAAATGTCAAATCATTATTTCTTTGAAGTTTAAAGGCAGATTTTTTGTGATGTCTTCATGTCACTATGTGATGTCTTCATGTCTTTTCGTTTTTTTGTCGTAAGGCACGGTGCTCGAAAATGATGCTACTATGGTTTGCTGCTGTGTAGTCGCACTGAATACTGGGCTGGTGCTTATAGATGGTCCCCTTCCACTAACAACACTAGTTTGTGACTGTAATTTTTTACTTTCTGTTGTTGTTTTAAATGGTGAAATAGGTTCGTGGTGTTGCCTGTCTTTGCTGGCACGGATCTGCGGCACAGTTTGCAGTGCACGCTGCTCTGTTTTATGTCTGATCGTAAAAAGCCAAAATATCTCCAAATTACCGAAGTCGAATTACCTTTTCTGTCAATGATGTCACCGTCCTTCGAGCTGGTCATTGGCAGCACTACATTTGCTTCAGTGTCGCTCATTTCTCCACTCTACAATCCTGTCAGGTAAACAACACCAGGTTAGCGGTCCAGTCTGCAACACGCATGCGCACTCGAGCAGTATTTTGTAATACAAACATGTATATTGAACATTTATCGAACTTTTGTTAAAATTATATCGCGATAATTATCATTATCGAATTATCGCCCAGCGTTAGAAGAACATATCAGAAAACCCATAATGCTGGAGCCCAGAAATCTGTTTGAATGAATCAGTTATTCCTAGAAAATAATTACACGTAAAAACTATTCTACCTTCTTGGAAAATGTACAATAATGGGGTGTATTTTTTCAGTAAATCATTTTAGTAAATCCATGTAAAATGTGTAAAGTTTAGGTATTTAATGTCACTATACCAAGTGTGGATCGTCACGTAAAACACGTGAGTGTCATAATGGTAATATAATTGGCCTGCCACAGTTCAAAAAAGCTATTGCTTCAGTCCAGGGGAGAGTGACCAGTTGCTGACTCAGAAGAATGTACTATTTTGACATGTTCGAAGTACTAAAATACCCTGGAACTGTGAAGAGTATCAGGGCACCTGTAGTTATTACTATAAACATTACCCAAAGAACATAAATGGAATTTAATGCTTTTAATTTAAAGTGATTCTAAAACTGAGAACAGCAGATACTTCTTTGCATAAAGGATTGTGGGAGTCTGGAGCAAGCTACCTAGTCATTTTAAAGCTGATGCCATTGCTTCTTTCTAAAACTGTCAGGTTGAGAAATTAGCCATGTGGGTTGCAGACTTTTTAGGTTCTTGTGTCATTTAGTGGAGGTGTTTTGGAATTTCCCAATGGTTAACGTGACAATTATTATTAAAGAACTGCTTAAACAAGTTCTGGCATGCCCTGCAGTGGACTGGTGTCCCACCCAGGATGTATTCTGCCCTGTGCCTGTTGCTTGCTGGGACAAGCTCTGGCTCCCCCCGCAACCCTGACTTGGATGAAATGGTTAGAAAATTGATGGATTGGTGGAACAGCATTGGTGTTGAACAACACATGTTCAGTTTTACCCATGAAGTTTGAAAAGCTTTTGTTGTAAGGTTTAGTTGCTGTTGGCTGAGAATTTCTATATGGTGAGAGTGTCTGCTGTTGCATGCCGCCCGTTGCCTGTCTATAAGATTGGCCGTTTTTTGTGCCATTTAAAACTCTTCCTAAATTGTATTTCCTACTTCATAAATGCAATATTGGTAGGATTATGTTTTTGAATGTGTGCCAGATTCAGTGCAAGATAGCAAAGTTTTCATTTGTAGCTACTGAGAAATAGAAGTATTTGCCTTTTGATTATGTAAAAACCCTGCACTGCAAATTAGTCACAGTTGTTTCCTTACATTTTTTTATATTTCAAATCTGTTTTTAAATACAGTGTAAAAAAAACATTTTTTTAATTCCTTGATTGTTTACATTTGCATTCAAATGTTGTTCTCAGTCTCTTCACAGAAAACGTCCTTGCTCACCCTTGCATTGTATTCCGTCGTCAGTGTCAGGTAAGAATTAAACTGACAAATCTCCAGTGCCTTAAAGCACAACAAATTCAGAATGTATTAGCATGATCCTTCTCAATTTCCCTGACTCAAACACCCAACCTATCAGAGAATGAAAGACACCTCTAGTCTGAAGATGCTAACGTTATTATTCTCTTGTGTTGTGACATGTTTCTCATCTGAAATAAGGAAGACCTTGTGCACATCATTTTCTGTATAATGCAGAGCATCTTAAGCATGGTTGTACAACAGCCCTTTCGAAACATTTTTTGTCATTTTACTACGCTTTAAACAGTAGTTAAATTGTTTAATTCAATTCAACAGTTGGTACATTTCAGGTTTGAGAATGACATAAGATTTATATTTAACAAAGACTCATGTCTTCTTCTGTTAATGACATATGCTGACTCATGGTTAATATTGTTTTCAGGTTAATTATCATGCGAAATGCTATCATCTCTCACCATTCACTGCCATCAGTGTCATGTACAATGTCACAAAAACACAGGTAAGAACAGTAGAATCTGTTATTGGTTTGTACACTATGAACATATTGAAGAAAATCCAGATAGTCTTTATTACAATATTACATTACATTAATTATATTCAAAAATTAAATTACAATAGTTCTGTAAGTTGTTCTTCTTTTTATAGAAGTTAAATGCTAAGTATTATTAATGATTTTTGCATTGTGTTAGAATTATCATAAACTGTATGAAAGTGCTTGTGACACTTTATCCCTGGTGTTGACAGGGTCCAAAGGCTCTATGGAAAGGAATGGGAAGTACATTTGTTGTCCAGGGAGTAACACTTGGTGCAGAAGGAATTATCAGTGAATGCACACCACTTCCAAGGTACTGTAAGAAGAAAAGATGCCACACGTAACATAAACTGTATATAATAGGTATCCCCAGTTTGCCAGGGTAATTCACATTTGAATGTAACCCTCCATTTCAGGAGCAAAATGTAATATATTTGGGGGTTTTACACCACGTCACAATATCTGTGTGTCTGTATATCCTTTAAAATATATATAAACTTCTAGAGAGGTTAGAGTGCTTAGGTTCAGAATGGAACTAAGTCAGGACACCTGTGTTAACTCTAACTCTTGAGAACAGTGCCATGGGATAGTATAAGTCATTCTCAGTTAAAAGAATGGTGCAAACATTTCAGTAGAGTATTTTATAGCCAGAGCAAGTCAGTACCAAATGCATCACATTAAGGTGCAATGCAGGTTTAAGAAAACGATACAAAAATAGTTGTATGCAATGTAATATAAAAGGAATGATACAAGTATGCAGCATGTAAGATACAAGGAAGTATAATTTTAGCTGTTTATGGCCTGTTGGGACTTTAAAGTCCTGCCAGTAGAAAGGGTCTAAGAACTCTCGATTTAAGCTTCTAGAATAATGGGACTGCAAAGTCATGTCAAAAGATGTTAAAATACCCTTGAATCAAGGTGGACACAGAGGTTGACAATTAAGGGGAATACGTTCTTCTCCTAAAGAGGCAGATGTAATTTATATGCTCTTATAAATTGAGTTTAGAACAGTGCATGGAATCTTTCCTTTATCTTAGAAGGCTATTGTCAGTCATTCTGAGTCATTTTCTCTTAATTAACTCACTTTCAGGTAAAACTTTTAATGGACATTTTGTTTCTTCAGTTACATCAAATATACCAGCTTTCTTTGTCAAAGAGGTACAATTATTTTATTAGCAGTGGTATAAAAGGAATATTGAATTTTTATTTTACTAGTCTTTTCATTTCATGTCTAACTTTTTCAGACAGGGTTTGTTCCAGCAGTTTTTTCCTTCCCTTGTACCATACATGTCACAATAACAATATGATATTGCTACTAACCTTTCAGTTGCGTTTGTTGTCCACAAGATGCAGCTGTGTAACAATTTATAGATAGTGTTCTATTTCTTACACAAGTCTAAATGTTCAGGAAAGTCAAGTGTAGTGAGTAAGCTCTTCCCACTTTCCTCTGAGTCACAGCTACTTTTCTGTGTTAGAAGGATCTCCTTAGCTACCATGTAGCCCGAGATGCTTGAATCACTTCACCATGATACTAAAGGTTAGTCCTTAAAGATCATTGCTTTGTTTTTAAACCTGAAACCTCTTATCTTCCTGAGTCATATGTCATCTGAGGTGTTTCCAGGTAAATGCAAGTCTATCTAATGAGCATGAAGCTTTATTCTATATTTGTGTCTTGCTTGGAATGTAAGTTCCAGAGGAAAAACAGGATACAACAAATATTTATAATCTGAAACCAGAGTTATGAATGATTATACATCCATGTAATTTTAGATCAGATTTAGGCAGGTTGTTTTATTAAGAGAAATGTGGATGCAAAGCATTGTGTATTTTGCGTATTACAATGACGTTCTACTTTGCCTAATCTCTTGTAAGGTAAAATAGAAAGCTCAGAAAAATTTATTGATTCTGAATCTTATTCAGCCTTAATAGCTTATAACTTATGTATCAGGATAACATAAATTTCTGGAAATTATTTGCTCATTATGCACCATTTCAGCAGTTAACACCGAGACAGAGTACAGTAGATGCTGATTAGTGACTCTTCCCTTAAATTAATTTGTTATGCATTCTTCATCTTCCTCTTTTCTGGGCATTTTTGATTCCAATATTCAGTTTTTTGTATCAGCTTTAACCAAGTTTATCTCCTGCACTTCATTTTTGTTTACTTATTTTTCAAACACATTTTGACGGTGTTGATTTTGTATGTGGTTAGTCATTCTAAATTCTACAGATTCCTAAGCTTTGAGTTCTATTATGCTTTCACCTTTGGCATTTGACATTATGTTCAAATCATTGAAGGCTTCATATAAAATAATGCAGTTGTCAATTTGCTTTACCACATTTTACACACTACAGAATTGTAAGCAGTGAGTTGACAGTCTGCATATTTCTTGCCATATAACAATATGTGTAGTTTAATGCACTGAATATTTGTTTTAGTGAACTTCTGATGTATCAGTGGATAATCTCTTAGGATAATATTTGTCACTACTTTTTCCTCTGTGTGAATGGGGAAAAAAAGAATTGCTTTCATAGTTTGTCATGCATTAATAAAGTATGTGTTATAGAAATAATTTTTCTTTGAATGTATCTCACTCACCATCCTTGAACAATCCTTGACAAACTAATAGCATCAGTATATTCAATATGGTTACATTCACTATAGGTGTTAACCAATCAAGGTTAGTAAGTCCTGTTACGTGTAAGTGTTGGATGTACAACAATGAAAACATTGATTTGTATTTCCAAAAAAATATTCAAGCTGTAAAGAGCAAGGGAACATAATACATGAAAAATATTGTAAAATGCTTTTTTTTCAGTGTAAATTTGATTTATTTTTATGAAAAGTAACAACCGTAATCGATATCCTGTGTCCTGTGTGGTAGCGTCTTTCTCTTTTTAGCATGTTAAGTTAGGTGTGAGTCACTGAAACCACAATGCCTTTAATCTTACTACCTATGAGTCAAGGCCTGTCCCAATATTTGGCTAAACACCATTTGATTACCAATTTATTGCTTTAGTTTCACCAGAATCTCTCTTTGTTTGTGTGTATTTTTTTAAAATAATGTTAAAATATAAATGACCTTTTCTGATAAGTTACATCCCCAGCAGGTTTTTTAATCTGCTATATTCTAAAATTCTGCTTTAACCATCTTCTTTATTATTGAACTAATAATCAGCAGGATCAATGTAGAAATTAGCTGCTTTCATCACAATTGTGGAAAAGAAACTGCTTTAAGATATTATTTATATCTTTCTTGGTTCACTTTAAAGACTGAGAAGCAGCAAATGATGGTAAATATACACCACCCTAGTAAAGCTCGTAGATATACTGTAGTTTCTGACTGACCATAGGGAATAGAAGCTTTACTTTCCAAGAGAGTGAGTGACATTAGGTCAGAATAGGTACATACTGTGATATTTAACTATGGTTAGTACTCTTCCTACACTTTCACACTCAAAACTTTTGGAAAAAAAGTTGTTTTGTTTTTCTGTATCAGCATCTAAATTCACTTTTTGATGTATATTGCGGAATACAAGGGACTGTGCAAATGGTGATGTATGTGGCACAGAAATGTTTTAATTTTATTTTTACCTACTGAAGTTTTTAAAGTAATTTATAAAATCTTTAAAATGTTTCACACTCGTTTTTTCCTGAGTATTTTAATATTCCAGTGATTCAAAGACTACTGAAAGTCTGGTAAAGATTCAGAGCAATGGTTATGTGTTGCCAGAGCATGAGCTCAGTTGCACTGTGCATACTGTACGTGTCTATCCACCAGAGTGTTTTTTAAAACGATAGTAGGTTGACAAAATGAAGGTTTAACACGGATAATATACTGTTTTATGAACAGTTTCCTGATATTCTAAAAATCAGTTGCAGTAATAAAGCAGTTGTGAAAGGAGACATTATGAAAAAAACACCTCTTAAGAGTCAAATTATACAGACTTTGCTGTAACTTATACAGACCCTTTAACTTAAAAATAAGCTATCTACCCTACATGTCACCTTTTGGGGAGGATCTCAAATACAGAACAAAATGTCTCTTGTATAATTTATGGTGTTTCAGAACTATTTTGTTAAGGTAGGAAGCCTTTTTCTGTCTGTAAATATATGAAATGCAGTCTTATCTATGTGTGATGAAGGAAGAAATAGATAATTTTTTTTTTCTGACATCAACCTTTTAAAAATGGCTGTTCCACAAAAATAATATTTAAGACCAGGTATATAGTAGATTGAATGGTTTTTACACATATTTATCACTCTTGGTGAAAGTACTTACAGTATGTATTTGATAATGTTTTTACCTTTTAAGTTTTCTTCAGGGCATTACTAACCATTTTGAAGTGACAGAAGAATTGTCTGGCATACAGAGCCATAAGGGATCTAGTTTGTTGCAATGTGTAGCACTATTGCTCGTGGAGTACAGGCTGGCATGTGAAATATATGAAACTGGGATAAAAAAATATGAAACTGGTATAACAAAAAACAGCTGCAGGGGAGGCCTTACTATTTTAGACAGTTAAAAAGTAAAGGAAAAATAGTGGGAACTGAGCGAACCAGAGCTCACAGCCCTCGGTCTCCAAGGCAACCAACCGTGTTTATATGTGGAGTCCCTGTGCCGAGAAAACCCGATGAGGGTGGCTGTCTGTGCCACCTACCTCAGCTCAAGGTTATGTAAACCCTGCCCACAGTCAGATGCTGTGTCATTGAGCTTCCTACTAATTTAAGGAAGTACTCCTTTCATTAACCAGCCTGTCACTATAAACCGTAATCTGCCAAAATCAGACACAGCACTTTTCAGCTTAGCACTTTGTCCTGACAGGAATGTTCTGAATTATCATTGTATTTCATATCAAGCACACCTTTGTGCAAAATCAGTTGTGTTTGATGAAGGTATTACAAGCAGTAATCAGAGTTGTTCCTCAGTTCAAAAGCACGGAATCTACAGCAGTCCGGAGTGATATTGGAAGAACATGATGCAGAATATGCAGTCATCAGTAAAGTACTGAAGAGATTTTCTGAACTCCATGCCTAAATGAAAAAGTTAATGGAAAAGTAGAGGTGCTGACAGAGACAAAATAGTTTTAGGATCTTTTTTCTTGAGTAAAGTTGTCTTTTGAGGTATGTGAATTCGCAGGGGAAAGAGCATCCTCATTTTCTAACTGTACAAAAACATTAAAGCATTTGAACAAAAAATTATAACTTTTAGTTGCCATACAAGAAGCAGTAATCTTGCCAACTTTGCAAACCTTAAATGCAGATTTAAGTAGGGAAAATTGTCTTTTTATCAGCTGAGAAAGTCTTCATTG